CTGTGCCTAAAATAATTTCATGTTATTCACCTTGTTAGTTTAATTTCCATAATAGCGGAGCAGGTGTGGACTTTAGACGCGTCACGCATGTCTCCGTTTTAAACATGTTTAAACTGTTCAGAATACAAATCCAGGCTCTGTCTCGTTAGATTGGTGTAACTAAAGTTTGTACTGAATGAAACTTTACATTAAACCATGTTGAAGAGAAAAGGATCCGATTAAATCGTTTCCCCTCATTTACAGTCAGTACAGTGCAGTGCGCATGGCTCTGGGTTTAATCAGGTTTAGTTGTTTCTCTTTGCAACAATCTTCACAAGAAGGCACAACAGTTAAATGGCAGGTTACAGATATTTATATTAGACTTTTATTTTGACGGATAAACTCAAGGATGTTGGTTGTTTTGAAAGAATTACCCCGACGCACACTGATGCACACACAGATGAGCTGACATTTTAATCGTTACGCACATCGCAGAGGTAACTAAATCAATCAAGAAATGATTCCCATCAGAACATCAGAGCTTTATACTGGACACTGTGTTCAGCGTGGATCGGAGCGCCCACGGTGGACAGTGGGCTGAAGATCTGCAGAGGGGTTCGCAGTGCAGAACCACGGTGCATGCGATAAGATTTCCTCCCACTGAAGCGGTCTGGAAACCCGGTCTCTCTGAGGGACGTGTCACTTGGAAAAAGGTTCTTTTTATGAAATTATGAAACTTTGGCTGAACAGCGCTTGTTCCCGTCTCTAATATGGAGACGCATGACGCATCCAGTCTGAGGCAGAATAGTCTCTTCAGCTCAGAAAGCTCCTGTAGAGACATTTGATCACGCACAAAGTTTATGTGGAGCAGAAGCGGTCGGGCCACGGCAGGTGAAACGTTCCTAGCCTACATGAAGTGAAACTGTTTAATTGTAACATTAATATGTTAGTGGACACGCTGGTCTGGTTGGTCAGTTTGAAGAGGAAAACACACACACACACACACACACACACACACACACACACACACACACACACCAATTAAAATAATGCTGATAGCGTGGACTAGAAGACAGGTGATGGTTTACGTATTTAAATGATGATCAGGCTGCTGTAAAATGTAATCTCCATCCACATCCAGACACAATTATCCTCTATTCTAGTTGCTTTTCTCTTGACTGGGCTGACGTAGCTGACGGTGCGCGCGGCGCGCCTAACTAGCGGCTGATGCACATTTTACGCATTTGGAGAGGTGGGCTGGATGCTTTGCTTTTACTGGAAGATGGTCCACTTAACGCACGGGTGTAGACTACATATTAATGACAAATGAATGAAAATTAAACTGGGAGATTTTACTTCATATTTTAGAAATTAAAATGATGGGGGAACACATTTATGACGTATTTTTAAATGAAATTTTCTAGCGCGACCTGCCTGCTTCACTAATGGGCCATTCCCATCTGTACCGGGTCGGCCTGGGCCGGGTAGCCCCAGTCGGCCCCAGCCTGGCCCGGTTGATTCCACACATCCTTGCCTTAAGCCCATGTGGGCTGATTCTACCCACCAATCAGAGGCTTGCTCTAATGGAAGGTGTGAATTTGCTGTCAGCAGTGGGTGTGTTGGCCCTGGTCGGCCTGAAGCAGACCCCCTCCAGAAGAGGGCTGAGAATGAGCCTTGGTTGGCCCGGAAAAATACCAGGCCACCCAGATATGTAAACAACCTACGCTACCCGGCCCGGTACAGATGGGAATGGCCCATTGGTCGCTGCTTATTAAGGTCCGTCCAAAATGACCGTGGCCCACCCAAAAATGAAAACCTGGCGCCGCGCCTGTTATAAACCTCTGCAAATTGTTGTTCTTCACTTTATCAAACTCAGACTTTGTACAGCTAATGTCAAGATGTAAAATTATGAATTCAGTCGAGCTCTTCCGTCCGTCCCTCTCCTGCTCTCCTGGAAACCCGACATCGGCTGTCAGAAGCGGAGGGGAAGAAGGAGATGAGGCAAACAGAGTGAGTGTGACATAGAGAAACCAGACTGGTGTGGAGGTGAGCAAAACAGCTGGAAAAGTGTGGGTGTTGAATCCCCCACGGGTGCGATGTCCATGCGAGCGACCGGTGCTGTCACCTGGTTGTGAGCAGCTCTCTGCTGTCTGAGGGTAGGCCCCGCCCACAACGCCGCGGCTGCTGCGGTGTTTTCTTTACTGTGGGAAACGGGTAATAATGGTGGGAACAAGTTGCCGACCCCTGGATAAGATCTGAGCTGGTAAAACAAAAATCCTCATCAGCAGGCGTTTTTTAAAGTGGGGGGGACACAGCTGCCAATCACAAATTTTGCCGGGGACATGTCCCCGGTTAAAATGACGCCGATGATAAAACCTCTTAAAAGTTTTTATCACAGAGGAGGCAGCGCTCATTTCTGCCTTCAGTCTGATGGCGCAGCGTGCGTTTCTTGAATCAGCAGGTGTGTGTGTGTGTGTGTGTGTGCGCGGCACAGCTCCATGACACGCTCCAGTCACCGCGTCTCGTTATCGGCGCTATTTAAACCAATGTTGTAAAATGACCTCTGCCCAGCCCAGATGTGCTCACTTGTGCACCCGTGAGCCGTGGTTCAGCTGGAACGCGTCTGATCTCTGACAGACGCACTCTGAACTTCAGATCTTCAGCGCGCTGTTAATAGCCTGAATGGGAATCATTTAGGGTTGTCACGGTAACCGGTATAGCGGTAAACCCCGGTAAAAAAGTTGACAATAAAAATAACCGTCCAGTTTTTAAAAAACTATATTATCTCGGTGGGTTTACTGTGGCCGCGGTTTCGGCGCGATGACCCGTACCAGCCACCGTCGCTTCAGCTGAAGTTCCCGCGGCGCGCACTTTTTAGTTTGCAACGGCACCAAAACTTTGAAGCTGAAATAATGGCCGAAGGAGGAGACGGCAGCGCCCAGGACATCCATCAGCCCTCAAAGAAGACTAAATCGGAAGTATGGGCATATTTGGGATTTCTGAAAAATGCTGAGGGACAGTTAATAGAAGACGGCTATCCCGTTTGCAGAACGTGCAGGAAACAAGTGTCTGCAGAAGGCAGCAACACTTCGAATCTAATGGCACATCTGCGTGACCATCACCCACGTCTCTACAGCCAGTGCAAGGTAAGTTAACATTAGCATTTTAGCTGAAATGCATGACGTGAGGACTTTTGGTTGAGGGAGAATGCAACGAGTCACTATATACTGCAGCCGCAGCGTCCTCTGCCAGCATTTAAACCGTGTCACGGACACCCTGTTGCTGGATGAAGCATCTTATTTGTTGATGATGAAGAGAAATATACAATTAGTTCCTTGTCATTGATTTGTTTACTTATTCAATGCCATTTATACTTGAACATTTGGATTTGATTACATAGTGTAGTAGTTATTTTAGTCATTTGTTTAAAGTGGCTATTTATTTTAAATACATATTTTTTAAGGTTGACTTGTACAGCGCTCAAGTCAAGTGTGGACTGGAGTTTTAGATTTTCATTTTGATAATGAAGAAAACAAGTATATGAGAAAACAAGTGGTGTTTCTTTGATTTGTTTACATATTGTTTATGTTTTGAATGTTTGGATTTGTATCATTTAAACCTGCACTGACTACTGTAACATGTTCCAGAAAAATAAGCTATTTGTTCCTTTACTTGTGAAAAGTTGCACTTTTGCTAAGGCTTTGTGTTATTTTAGGTTTAATAAACACTGTTAAACCTTTTCAGAACTATTTCAGTTTGTGTAGAACAGGACTATCAATGCTTTCTGAACATATGCAACACCGTTTAAAAAATACCGCGATAATACCGAAAACCGTGATAATTTTGGTCACAATAACCGTGAGGTTAAATTTTCATACCGTGACAACCCTAGAATCATTTCTTATTTATTTTGTTACATCCACAATGTTCTGTGTGTGAGGTTTACAACGTCAGAACACCTGCATGAGACAGGTGTTAATCACAATCTGCCAGAATGACTCACCAACTTCAGATTCCTCCAACACCGTTAAAAATGATCAAATACGGAACATATCGGCGTGCGCAGGCCAGAGTGCTGAAGCTCGGCGCATTGTTATTATGAAGCTAGGGCACATGCGGAGGACACGCACACACACACACACACACAAGTAAAATATACTTGTTTTCAATTACATTTATTGGGTCCACTTACTTTTTCTTTGGCCCGCCCACAAATGAGTTTCTACGTTAATGGTGACATGTGACAGACTTCTCTGAGCTCTGCAGCCATTACACTTTTCACCTCGCACACCCCCTAGCGGCAGCTCTCGCACCCCCGGGGGTGCGCGCACCACCCTTAGGTTATCCGTGACTCGGGGCGGTTGCCTTGAGCTTCTGCCCCTGACTGCAGTTTGGTGACTTGTCTGCTTGCGGTCTCTCCTCTCTCTCCAGCTGCAGGTATTGGGTTATTGATACAATCCCTAACAGTCGTGTAATCATTAGTTTAGAAATACAGAATTAAACTCATTTTTATAAACTATGTTCTTGACTCTGTCTGAATTAATATGAAGTGTGTGTTCCTAAGGTCGTATTAAATCAAATACTCAAAGATTGATCATTAATAATTAGATGGAATATCACATCTTATTGATCACTCAGTAAAAGTAAGCACTTCCATCACGTTACACCATCAGCATGGCTCTACACTTCATCCTGCAGCATCCGGACTCCTGGGTACCTACACCAGGATCCTGCCAGCAGCAGATCTGGGTGGGATGAGGCTGGCCCGGACTCTGGAACAGCAGCTGCTATGTGTGGACTCTCGTGTGATTTGTTTGTTTACATTTGTAGTAAACCTTTCTCCAGTCATCAGGACTAAATGATTTAGGTCTCTTCTGGACTTTCCTGCACGAGTCTACATGCCGCTTCACTCCAACACATTTCTTATGAACCAACAGCCTGAAGACCTGACTGCTGCACGACTCGTCTCCCTCACGTGTCTCTGGAGAGACCACTTGTGAAGAACTTGCTGACAGACTTACCATCTGACTCAGAAGACCTGCTCTCATTCCAGTCATCATCTTCATCATCATCATCATCATCATCATCATCTCCACTAACTTCAGTCTCTGAGGAGTCAGATGTTTGTTCATGAGGGTTCAGACCTGGGTTCCTGCTAGTTCCTGCTCCTCCACCAGCTGAGCTGCTGGTTGGAACATCTCGGTCTTCTATCTGCTGCTGATGAAGCTGTGAGATCAGAGGTTTCTCTTCATCATCCTCACTCTTTATAGAAGCAGCAGTAACAGGAAACCCGACAGCTTCAGGCTCCTCCTTCAGATGGAGCTGCTCTCCCTCCAGACCGGTCCAGAGCTCCTCCTGTTCCTCCTTCATGTGGAGGTGTTCTGGGTCCTGCTGGTCCTCACCAGGAGCTTCTTCTTTAACCAGCACCAGCTGTTGAACATCTGTAGGACACACAGACACGTGATGCTACACACCACCATACCTTTATGTTTACACCAGGAGTGATACCGGCTACATGATGAGGGCAGAAGGAACAAGAACATGAACTTCATGGAGATAAAAACATGTTTCTACGTGAGGAACAACAAAACCTTCCAGCACAATCAGCGTGTTTGGTTCTGACCAGAACTTCTACGCCTCCTCCTCACAGCCCAAGCTGTAGGTGTGAAGCTTGTGAGGAGAAGCGTCTCCCAGATGAAACCAGCAACTATTCAGCCAAGAGGAACCTGAGTAAACACGTAGACGTCGCTGCTGTCAGGGACCATCTCTGCTCTTCAGCTCTGTGTGTTCTGTGTCCATGCTGTCCAGAACACACACGCACGCACGCACACACACACACACACACACACACACACACACACACACACACACGCACACACGCACGCACGCACGCACACACACACACACACACACCAGTACCTGTGTCCATGCTGATGAAGCAGTCCCAGCTGGTGGATGATCCTGAAGTGGTAGCAGGTTTCCTTTAGCCGTGTTTAGCTAACAGCTGCAATAGAAACAAAGCAGGAGAGCTGATTAAGATGCTGCTTCAGAACAACGCAGGAGATTAAAGATCCAACGCTTTGGTTCTGATCAGCTGAGGACACATCCAGTCTGGAAAAGAGGACCTTTGCTCACCAGAGTTCACGGAGTAGAGCTAACCGCTTTTTCCTCCAGAGTCACATTCAGATTCGGGCCTTTTCCGTCGGAGAGTGTGAGCAGGATGGATGAGAGAGCGAGCAGCGATCCTGCATCATGACCAACTCAGATGAGCGAGTCTGATAGAGGGAACCTCTTCAATCTGATGAAAGCAGCAAAACGAGCGCGTTTCTCAGAGAGGCCAAAGGAACAGCAGCAGATCCAGAGGGCAGGAAGTCTAGAGAAAAGCTTTTCTCACCCATCACCTGCTTCTGGAGCTCCGATTGTCACGAAGACCGCAGAATAGCTTCTCTGCTTCTGGAAAGAACTCCACCAAGTTGTTGAGGAGGAGAAGAAAGTTTCCACAGCCTGGTGAGAAGATTTCTGCAGCAGTTAGTCGCTTTAGCTGATCAACTCTCCCAGAGACTGAAGTGAAGACATTTTTACTGCAGAGCCTCAAATCTTCTCCTCACACACCACAACAACAACAAGCTAGCTCTGCTAGCAGCTTCCGGTTTCTGCTGCTTCCGGTGGTCCGTGACCAGCGTAAAGGTGCGCTAGCGCCACCTGCTGGACTAGAGGCTCACTGACCCAGCTAGGCAGAAGAACAAAGATAAATGTTCTACAGATCCAATTAAATACTGTAACATATACTAATAAAATACTCAATATAAATACTACTACATCATGGGGGTCCACTAGAATACCTCCACCTTAAAAAAAACCTCCCACCCATGCATCATAATCATTTTTCTTCCAAGATGGCAGCCCAACCAGTCTATTGTATGTTGGACCCTGACTGTTATACGTTTTTGTGTTGTACGCTCTTATAGTTGATGTTTTCTTTCCTGCGTTTGAGACAGATCCTGTTTGACCACTTTCCTGGAAAACAAAGGCCTGCTGTGTGGTGTGGTTCGTTCCAAACTTTTCACAATCTAAACCCACAAACTTCAACCATCTTCAACCTAGATCCTGCTCTGACCTGACCTTTTACCTCAGGGTTAGCCCACAGTGAACACTGGATGGTGGTACACTCTGCATCCCACCCAGTCCAGAAAGCCATGCGACAGAGTGGCACAGTGGAGTCATGACATAACCCGCAGGCCTGTTTCAGGTTCTTAGCGCTTAGGTGGACTCCTCACTCGACCAGAGCTCACTGGCCGGGGTGAGAAGGTGATGGACACGTTTCCGGGGTCCGTGCAGCTGGGGCCACGTATCATTGACTGACAGAATCACGACTGGGTGCGAATGAAGATCATTCAACATGGCGGCCGGCCACTACAGCAGCGCCAGTCCACAAAGCATCTAAGTTTATGATGTCTGTGGCGTCATGTTTGCCTCTAGTTACTTTAGGATCACTTAATTTTTGGAGGGTGCAATCGCTGTGCTGTTTGATGAATTTTAAAAAGCGCCTCCCGGACCTAAGCATGCGTTCTCCGTCTCGTTCGATGGATATATAACACGAACGCAATAGCAACAAATGGTTTTTAGAGGTTGTAGATGCAGCAATAGAACACGGTTTTTCTGCCGTCGGGATGAGTTTATTTAACAACAATATTTAACGTTAGAACAACATGAACACGTAGACGCCCCATTGGGCGCTGGAGGGCGTACAGAATCGCCGCCATATTATATGGGTCTCCTCACTCTCCAAAGTCAATGCAGAGTGAGCAACTATGCCCGTTCCTTTGCAGCCTACGGTTACAACAACTGGCGTACAATTGAAAACAGATCTAGTGAGATTACTAGTGACATTTCTAGCCTACTAGATATAATTTTATTTTTAAATTTTTTGTTGGGTATTCACTTTCCTCAGTAGAAATGAATGCACTGGGGGTGAATCGAAAATGGTGGTCGGCCACTACGGCAGCTCCAATAAGCAGCGCCAGCTGAGTGATTTTTTACTGCATTGGTGCCCTCTATTGGCTGTCGTGCCCATCAAAATAAATATTTGATGATTTTGTAATTAAAACATAGCTTTTTATTAAAATCTATGTTTTATCCAAATAGAAACCACATGATCATTCCCTCAAATGATACTTATTTGCATTATCTGCTGTAGCAATTCCCCTTCTTGTTTTTCACTTTTTAAACCAGATCCTCCACCCCTGGCCAAAGTCTGTCCAGATCCCATTCTCGGGCACGGCACGGGAGTTCCTCAGGTTCTTACAGTCATTCACAGAGGTATTTATTTTAAATATGATCAAAGGTATAATCTTGTTGGTATGAATGACACACTGTAAAGCTGCAGTCTGGAGGTCTTTAATATGTATCTGTTGTGGTTGTGCATGTGTACATGACCAATATTCAATCCATTTTCTCAATCAGTGACACCCCAGGAACGACTATGGACCGAAGGCAACATCCTGAGAAGTTTATGAGAGCTGAAAGGGATCCCCCAACTGCAGCCAAGGCGACAAATTCACAGTCAATCAAATTGAGAAAGGACGACTTCTCGATGTCTGGAAAAAGTAACGTTATTCTCTTATTTTTGCTGAGAAATAATTAGGAGTCTTTCAGTGTCCACATGTCCCCAGAGTTTCAGTTAAAGCAGACATTACACGCGTGCCTTAAGTGCAGAATGAATACTGGGTTGAAATGTCCTTACAAATAAAAGGGCAATCCAAAATACATGTTTGGATACGCTGATCCATTTATTAAAGTAAAAAGGAAGGGGAAAATAAAACCAAAACTCAAAGAATATTGATGCCTACCCTATCCTGCACAGTCAAACCGTGTGTCTCCAAAGCCACACACCTGTCGCTTGATTAGGTCGCTTTAAACCTCTAAGTAGAGCCACTCCCAGAGTGCCTTCTGCAGTAATTGGCTCCAACAATGTATATATATATATATATATATATATTTATATATACATATATATAAATATATAAATATATATATATATATATGTATATATGTATATATATATATATATATATATATATATATATATATATATATATACACACACACACGCACATATATATATATACACATATATTTATATATACATACATATATACATACATATATATATATATATATATATACATACATATATATATATATACATGCATACATATACATACATATATACTAGAGGTGGGAAAAATGATCGATTCTAAGATGCATCGCGATTCAGCCGTGCATGATTCCGCATCGATGCAGCAACGTGACATAATGAGATTCTCTCCTTATGTCTATGTCGGGGGTCGGCAACCCGCGGCTCTGGAGCCGCATGCGGCTCTTCCATCCATCTGATGCGGCTCTCTGTGCTTGTAAAATAATGAATGGATATTTAAATAAAATGCTTTATATTTTACTGCATTAATTTTACATCTGTATGCCAATTCTAAATATAAAGATTGTCTGCGTAAACCTGAACAGGTCCAACCCGGTCTTACTGTGAGACCGGGTTGACGCGTCACGCTTGTGCGTAATCATAGGCGCTTTCTGAGCTGAAGATGTGAGATTCTGGGCTTCTCCTCAGATGGCTCCTGGATGTGTCGCCACATTGGAGACAGGAACAAGCGCTATTCAGCCAAAGTTTCATAATCAGGGAACATTTTCTAAGTGACAAGTCTCTGAGAGACCGGGTTTGGAAAACACTCGCTTCAGTGGGAGGAACCTTCCCGCATACGCTCTGGTTCTGCGACACGCTCAAAGCCCCTCTCCACATCTTCAGCTTGCTGTGCACCGTACGTACACGCTGACAGCGAGCTGCGCTGAGCAGTGTCCAGCTCAGATGTTCAGATGGGAATCATTTCTTGAGTAATTTAGCTACATCTGCGCAAAACGATTAAGGTGTAAGTTCGTCTGCATGCGTCGGGGTCATTCTTTCTATTCTTTCTCCGTCAAAATAAACGGTCAAATACAGGAACTATCCGGTCAACACAAGCCCTGCTTTTAACTGTTCTGTTTTCTTGTGAAAATTGTTGCAAAGAGATATAATTTAACTTGATTACCACCAGAGCCAGGCGCACTGCGCCGTTATCTCCGTCACTGTAAATGAGGGAAAAACCAAATGATCGGATCCTTTTCTGACCTTCCCCACCTACAAAGTTTAATTACAACAATCAAACGTGACAGAGCCTGGATTTGTATTCTGAAAAGTCTAAACATGTTTTAAAAAGAAACGTATGACAAAAGTGGCACCTGCTCAGTAAAACCACCAACAGGGTGAAAAATATCTAAATATTGTAGCAGAGACGGGCTACAACTTCTGGATCCACTTTATATAAATCCTTTTATTGATGATCTTCTTATGAAAGATAACTTTGACGTACACGAGCGATCGGTACCGGCTGCTGTCACCTGTTGTGATTGGTTAAAGCAGCGCTCTGCTGTCTGAGGGTAGGCCCCGCCCACAACGCCACGGCTGCTGTGGCTCCCAGTGTTTTCTTTACTGTGGGAAACGGGTAATAATGGCTCTTTGATGGGAACAGGTTGCCGACCCCTGGTCTATGTCTATGCAGGACAATAAAGTTTTGAGGTTTTATAATTACGTCTGGGGGCAGAGTTGCAATGACATGCGCACTGCGTTGCCCTAGAGCCAGTGTAAACCAGAAAAGGCGGACAGGGATACAGGGCCAACATTACCAGTAATCAAAGATGTACCCGTTACATTTAAATCGGATGTCTGGGCTAATTTCGGTTTTGGGATCCTGGATGTGAAAGAATCACTTAACACAGTATTTGTTTACTATTTTTAAGTTCAGTAATATTCTATCTTAAAGCTGCTCTACCGAAAACATTATTTCTTGAATTATTTAAGTAATTATAGGCAGCACACTTTAAAAATTATTGCTCACTATAGTGAAAAGATGAATGTTCTGTTTTTCAGGGATTTCGAAATCAAAAAGAAATTGAAAACTATTCTACTGCTTTTAATAAGTAATGAAAATTTTGTGTGAAGAATCGTGATGCATTTCAGACTCAAATCGAATCGTTAGGCAGATAATCGGAATCAGATCGAATCGTGAGGCAGGTAGAGATGCACACCACTAGTAGATACATATATATTGTATATGTATGTATATGTACGTATATATATATATATGTATGTATACATATGTATATGTACGTATATGTATATATATATATATATATATATATATATATATATATATACATACACATATATATATGTATATATATATATATATATATACATACATATATATATATATACATATACGTACATATATATATGTGTATGTATATATATATGTATGCATATAAATATTTATATGTGCATACATATATAAATATATAAATATATATATATATATATATATATATATATATATATATATATATATATATACATATATATATATATATATATATATATATATATATATATATATATATACATATATACATATATATATATATATATATATATATATATATATATATGTATGTGTGTGTGTGTGTGTGTGTGTATTGTTGGAGCCAATTACTGCAGAGGGCACTCTGGGAGTGGCTCTACTTAGAGGTTTAAGGTGACCTAATCAAGCGACAGGTGTGTGGCTTTGGAGACAAACGGTTTGACTGTGCAGGATAGGGTAGGCATCAATATTCTTTGAGTTTTGGTTTTATTTTCCCCTTCCTTTTTACTTTAATAAATGGATCAGCGAATCCAAACATGTTGTTAGGTATTTTTATTTGTTCATCTTTGTTGTGAAATCTTTTGTTGAATGTGTTGGGGAAAAACCTGACCTTACTTGTTTTTACATTTGGGTGTTTTCAGAAACTCCTTTCTGCTTTAGGCATTTTGATCCAGTATCTGAAGTTTTCCTGTGCATGCTAAGACCAAAGTGTTTTCCATTAGTTAAAAGCAAACTGGTCAGGTAGGAAAATTAGCTCAAATCTAGAAACTTCTCTTGTGTTGTGGAATTTGTGGGTGTGGTTTATGTATGTGCAAATAAAACCCCTCCACAGCTTCGGCTCCTTTGTGAGAGGAAAATGGCTGCCGTGTCTGATGGTCTGATTCTTTCTCACCCGTTACAAAGTGAGCTTTGTAACGTATGTTATGGCCTTTGCAAAGTGTCACACTTTGCAGAGTTTATTGTCTGTTTAATAGGTTTGTTACAATTTACCAAATTAAGAATCTAATCCCTCTGTGTGTGTGTTCTGACTTTAAGGTAATTTAAGTTTAAGGTAATATAAGAAATAAATTGAAATACCCAACATAATGGTGGAGAATGCTAAATTAAAATTACGCAACACATGTATTTTGGATTGCCCTTTTATTTGTAAGGACATTTCAACCCAGTATTCATTCTGCACATAAGGCATGTGTTATCCAACAAAAAAGCCACAACAATAACTCAAACCTATCTCCTTATTATGTTGGAGAGGTAAGCTGTACAGGTGCATCCACCTGCGCGCTGCCAGTGCTGATTGCCTCCCGTCTGACAACGCACTGGGTGCGCTCTCCCACACAGAGGAAGCATTAAGCGTGTGGTGACAACTCACGGAGCTGGGAAACTGGGTTTGACCATAGCCACGCAGCAAGGATCAGAGGC